AAAAAATCAGGCGCTGGTAAACAGTAAGGAAATCGAAGAAACAGACATTTTACTGAGCGTTTTGCCTATTTCGTTTATCGCGAACGTTTTGAGTACGAGGTTTCAGTTGCTCAGGGTCATTTATGTTGTCAGATGTACGTCTAGATAGTGTCCGTTCAGTTTATCATGCCCACAGTTTCTTGTAATTTTCTCCAAAACTGTCTGTTGTATCGCCCCTGCTTTTTCGGCACAGTCTAACACATACGAGGCATCGTGGTCAAATTTAGATGCAGGTGAAAAATAATGAAATTGATGAAACTGACAATTTTCTGAGTGAAATTGTTGTGCCTACTTATTCATTCACTTATTTATTTAATTTTGGCTCCACACTATTTAGATGTTCATTTAATGACACATTTATGAGTAGATTTTGCTGAAAAAAAAAACCGTTGATGAAAAGCACCATCAAAAGATGTAAGTTTACAGTTTCCAAAGACTCTCAAGTTTTCACAAACTTTGGCGGCAAATATCTCGCTAAATACCTTTGACAATAGACGACCCTCATCTCCTTCAATCACACATATCTGGATTTCTATTTTAGAATTAAAAAAGGGCATTTTTATTAACTTAAAGCAAAACAACCGAAGCTTTAAGATGACACCAACCACCCCATATGCCCCAACATTTACGAGTGCCTGGTTCCACCGCTCCGTGACACGAATATTTTGATCGACCTTAAGATTTTCATGTCTTTTAATCTGCACATTTAATCTGTTAATTCAAAATCGCGAATTCTTTTGATCGTTTTGGAATGTTACAAGATTCCTGACTTGACAGTTCAATTTAACAGTACGCTATCCGAAAATTACAAAGTACTAACTGCTCAGTTTCTAGTTTTGAAAAAAAAACCCGTTAACATTTTGAGTTTCACAACATGTCAATCTTTTTCGAGTGCAATTCTTTGAACATCTTACGATTTTTATAGAGCAAATAGAACATTTATTTAGTTTCTGATCTGATGATAGTAGTAACTGAAAGCGTCCAAAAATAAATGTCAGAGAGAAATTTGTTATTCTAAGGAAGCGAGAAGGCACTTGGTCACTGAATGTTTTTAAGCGCATTTTTGGAGCTTCAAGAGGACAGAAAAAGCGTGCAGCGAGTAGAAAATGCAAGGGCAAGTGTGAAACAAGTCACTATTAATTTTTATTTATTAACCCAGTGATCTCGGAAGGGAAAACCATCCTAAATTGTGTACATTCAAGAAAGGTCTATTTTTGAAACAATTACGAGTCAAAATCTAGAACTAGAAGGCCTTTGACTTTCACCGGGTAATAAATATTCATGAAGGTTAAAAGCAAATCAAAACCCTTATGCAAATTCCCACTGTACTTTGTCAATAGAGAACTGAGATAATAATATATATATACAAAAGTCAACAGAAAACTGAGCTAATAATAGGCGTACAAACATAAGCGCGACAAAGGGAACGGGCCATAGTTTACGAGCAACTAGTGTTTCAGTGCAGCTGAACTGGAATGTACAATGCCGTGCAGTGTAGTGCAGAAAACAAGTTCAAACCAAATGCCACGGGCGTGCCTCATGCATGTCGATCAGGCCGTGTATGTATTACAAGGGCACACATAAATGACAAAACATTTCGTGAATTTCTTGTATTCGCGGTTTTCTTTAAAAAAATCATGAGGATTGCAAATTCCTGTAGCGTGCA